ATCACCCACCACCACTAACAGGATCACATGCGTGCCCACCACAAACGCCAACGCTGTCCAGGCTGCTGGGCAAAAGGGTTGTGCGTAGCTGAAGCTTTCAAAGCTACCACCACTGAGCAGTGAGGGGAAATTACATTTCATTGCCCCTTTTTTTGGACTCTGTTCGGATCACAGCGTCCTTGAAGTAGCGGTGGGAGATGAGAGGAAGGATACTGCAAAGGAACCATCAGAGAAGAGCGCATTTGGGGGCTTTCATTTAACAGCTGCTGCCTTCCAACAACTCATCTGTGCAGGTAACATGCTCCCAGATAGAGGTTATTTCTGCTGACTTTTTGATTTATTCTTCAAACGTGATAGTCCATAATAAAAGCAGTACAGGCTTTTCGAATGCCTTTATCCACAGGGGCTCTTTTTGTAATTTAATGGCTTTCAATGTTCGAGGTTTACCACTGACAGGCACAAAGCCGGTGACAGAAACAAGCTTTCTCAGATGTAAAATGTACAATAACAGAGGAAAAGATATTATGCCAACACGTTTATTTTCAGAGCCCTGGGTTCAGCCGAGGGAAATGCTGTTCTCAGGACAATCTGGAACACATAATGCCCTCAAGGAAGCCTGTACTTTTGCCTCAATTACAATGATAAATATCAGCAACAGGAAAAAATGCATAACCAGTTAACTATGCCACATAAAAGTAGCAATGAGGGAAACGTGGTCAACTTTTTGGATATATATCAGTGACTGAAACAGATAGGGGCCAGGCTTTTTTCATGGACATCTTGAATTTATCAGCCCTCTGCCTGGATTTTGAGCTATACCATTGGCATGCTCATTCACAGCCCTTCAATACTGTTATCCAGAAATAACACTCTCATGAAACATTTTCACAATGCCTACATGCATTTACTGAGTTGATTTACAAAGCAAGGCATGCTTTTCGGGGGATGGAGGGGGAATGATCCAAAATGGACCTTCAAAAACAATTTGGAAACCCCACTCTATAAATAGAGATGAAGGTCACTTTAAAATTCTAGCAAACAGACTTAGCTGACACCCAAAATATTGTGATAAAAAGAATTTCTGATTCATCCAAGTGAATAAACAATTAAGTAGCTGCCTTTTATCTCCCCTTAAATTTCACAGAAGATCCTGGTAATTGGCTCAAATGCCTAGTAAGTGGTCAAAGAAAAACATACAGCACAATGAAGGGAGAGAACAATTATCCTGGGACAACGCTGACGTGTTAAAAAATTGACCCTCAATGTTTCTCAGGGGAAAGTTATTCAGGACTTGCTCAACGGAATCCAAAAAACACTTTCATGTTCATAGAAAGATTCTTGGCTATTCTGAAAACTTTAAGTCTTTTCAAAGAAAGAGTTGTTTTAATTTGGGGGCCCTGCAGGCATTATTCTGAAATCAACAAAGCCCTCTTTCAGTGGCTTAATACTATGAGGAGATAGAGGTCAACACTGAAGGAAAAAAAAAACACAGTTACATATATAAACATAGATGGAAAGCAGAATTCATGAAGGTCCTCTTAAGGTCACAGCACACTTAAACAAATGTTATGTTGTCCTCACCTGAATTTTCAATTCTTTTAATGTTTGATTGGCAGAAACAAGAAGTGCTTTCTCACCGCGAACTTTTCTATGTCGCATACTTCGCCGAATAACTTGCTTTTGATAGGCAATATAATTTTGATGGGATATCTTTTGCCTCTTTGTTCCTCC